TGTGCAGGTGTGCTTCTCATCTGGGCTCCCAGAGAGAGGCTGTGCTTAAGGAGCTCCAGTTTTTGTTCAGCTTGTGCTATCATTTCAAACACTGTGAGTGGGTTCCCAGAGCGCACAGTAATACTTCACCGAATCTTCTAGCTGTGAGGCTGAAATAACAAGTCTGATGGAGTTGGTTGATTCCTGAAAGACAACAGAGTAGCGACTGCTCTTCTCAGTCTGAGTAGAAGAAGAAAGCTGGCGATTAAGAACAATCATCTCTCCATTAAGAAGCTGCTTGTACCAAAAAAGAAAATAGATGTCCGATCTTGTCTCATAAGAACAGTCCAGAGTGACCTCTTCCCCCTCCTGTGTGCTTGCAGTTGGCTGGACCTGAGTCACTTTCTGGCCCAAATTGGATCCTGCAGAAAAATCAAAAGAAAAAAAAAAGCTCATTCTGTGATAGTGTGAACAAAACAGTGTTGGAATTTGCTACATTGAGACCCAAGACAACCTAACTGAAGACATATTCTGCTTGCTTCTCTCTAATCCCTGTTCCCCATCACATCCATGTGAACTGCTATATGCCTAGGGCAAGGCTTCCTGCTTAATATACTTAACTGTATGTGAGACATCCATACCAGAGAAGGCCAAGGCCACCAGCACACAGAGCAGGCTGTGAGGAGGTGTGCGGCACATCTCCTTCCTATGAATATGTCTCCTCGGCCTTAGATCAGTGTCAAGTGACTGAAAGTGTACTGTGTTTCCTACATTGCCTCAAGCAGGAAAAAGGGTTTTGTATGATCACAGGCCACAAGTTCCTTGTACAGAGGAAACAGTGTAGCTCACCATAGGCTTTTATTTCCTTCCTGTCTTCCTTGGTAGTTAAAAGAGTCAGCACTTAAAAGGGAGAATGGGAAATCCCATACCTGCTGAGCATAAAGTTGCTTTCAACTCATGGTTGTTATTTGGAAGGATAATTTAGGAGACCGAAAGTCAGATTCATCAGGAGCCAGGTGCAGTCTTTAATGTACTTCCAGACCATTGTCATATGTTTACTTCTCTACATCTATTGTCTAAGAAAGCCTAACTTTTTTCAAAAAAAAAGGCCCTCAAAGGGCCGTGAATTTTCCTGTGAAATACAGGGATATGAAATAATCTTTCTCCTTTACTGCTAGGGTCCATATAAATTCAACAATTAACAGAGTTACTTTTAAATCACATAGTAAAGGGTAGTTCATCAGAATGTCAGAATATACTTGTTTGTTTATGTTCTGTGAAACTGTAATATGAGTAAATTCATAATCATTACAGACTAAAGAGAGGCTCAGTGTGTCCCTTGCCTGCTGTGAATCATGAGGGCCTATGTGTTGATCTCCAGCAGCCACTTGAGAATCCAGCTGATGTGGGTATACCTGCAATCAGAGCTCTGGGAAACAGAGACAGGAAAATCATGGGGTCTCACTAGTCAGACAGTCTAGTCCAATTGGTGAGCTTCAGTGAAAACCTCTACCACATACATAAATAAATAAATGAATAAATGAATGAATGAATGAATGTGGAGAGAAATAGAGGAAACTAAACAATGCTGACCACTGGATTACACACACACACACACACACACATACACACACACACACATACACACACACACACACTCTCTCTCACACACACACACACATACACATACATAATCACACATGGAGAGATAGAAACAGAGACAGAGAGACACAGAGAGAAGTTACACTAATTTAAAAACCTACTTTTACAAAACCTCATTTGCTTGTAGTAGTCTAACATTTAGTTTTATTCAGAAAATGTCCTATTTTACCACGCAAAGAACTTACTTATTACATTTCCTAGAAGCTTCTATACCATTGCTCTGAAGCATTCAGTCTCACTTGTTAAATTCCGTGTATATTTTAATTACAAAACGGTCGCATGATAATCTTGACAGGCCTGTCTGTGACTGCAGCCTATTATATGTGCATGATACATGTAACCTGAAAGTATTTAGGGGCATGTTAATGCCACATAAATTTGAGGTTGGATTTTGGGTACTGCTGTATCATCATTGAAAAATGTAGCTTTTAATCATTCATTTGCTCTCTTTATCCCGGTGGATAAGTTTAAGTAACTAGTCAGCATGTACATTGGGGAAGACTTTCTGGTATCTGAATTTCTGGTACTCTTCTGCCCACCTCACTGCTGAGTGCTGACAGGCAGCACATGCCCTGGACTGCAGGCT